ATGTTTATGCGTGGGTCACGTGAGACTTGCACGGTTGGGCTTCTGTTTTCCACGCGAACAAGTGGGCCAACCCACTAACCCTGTGTTAAATTCTGGCTGGAATTTGCCCCACATGAGTTTTGGGTAAAACTCATATTTGGCCCAAGGTTTTGAGCAAGTTGGGGTGGGTTTAGAACCTAAAATTTGAGTTTTACTTCAAGGGTTGGAATAGGTCTAAAGATCGATGATGAGATAATGAGGGCTTAATGTTGGGGTTGTATGACTTGATACAAGTCATAAATGAACATCAAACAAGTGTAGCAACAATTTACAATATAAAAGACTTGAGAAATAAAACCTTACGATCTTGATAAGTAGGTCAAGCCTGACTCAAGGTGCATTGGACTTCAGCAGTTAAGTTAGGGTAATTTAGGTACCGTTTGGTACGTAGGACGGGACGGGACGGGACGGGACGAGCCGTTTGGTCCCACGTTTGGTGCGCCTAAAAACTGTGGAACGGGTTGTCCCATGAGACGAAATTTGGCTGATTTTTTGTTCCACCTCTTCCCCCTGGAACGACCCATTCCACATCCGTGGAACACAAATTTATAACATTTTATGACAAAATTTCTCCTTATCTTTTTCAATATTTACATCATCCGTTTCATCCTGTTCCGTCCCGTCCCGTCCCGTCCCGTCTGCGTACCAAACGGTACCTTATAGCCCCTAGACCTAGAGAACGGACGTATTGCCTTCCTCATAGTTAAGACTGGATTTCTCCTACCATAATGTATAGTGTGTTCTTTTATGTTTGATCAGAACAACTTTAGATTTAATTGTTGGTCCGAAATGGGAGAAGCATCAATCGAACAAATTGGTTGGGGTACGAGACAAATAGGAAGCATAAGGAACAAGAACTTGGGGACATGAGAACGATATGACGGTGCCATATGAAAACCCCTCCACCACCTAAATGTCGAGAGTGTATACAACATTGTCTATTTAACTAACATCATTGAAATTGTTGAAATGCAAAGAAACGTAAATAATTTAGGACCATCAGAAATAGTACTTGTGTTATAGACATTCGACTAATATGGTACTATGGCACTATGGGAATTAGTATATACTTGTGCAATGACAAAGCTGCTAGCAATCATGAAATTTAGTTAAGAATGAATTAGTAATGGATTTCAAAAAATAACAAAATTAAGAATTGAGTCATGAGTAAGACCACTGATTACAGAATTATTGGCAGCAAATTTGGAAACATCTGATATGCATCCATGCAAGTTGTAGTTAAAATTAAAAAATAGAACCATTGGATTTATTATGAAATAATTAAGTCCATTGGCCAGAAAAACTAAACAAGGACTGGTAAAAATTCAAATTTGTTTATACTTGGAGCAAAGAGGGAGAAGGAGACAGACAAAGATAGGACAGAGATAGGCTGAAAAGAGCAAATTCAGGAATTGGCCTGTCTTAGAGTGCATGTTTCAATAACTGCTAATTAATTCAGCTTGTAATCTGGCGATAGAGATTTAGAGCTGAATCTTATTGTTTCAACTTGCAATCAAAGTATTCAAAGTTAAAAAGGATTGTGGCTACCCACCCCCAACGCACGCCCCCCACCCACCCACCCACGCAACCCCACACACACATATTACTACAAGTGATTTACTACTCTAAGATAAATTAAGAAGATATGAGATTTTGAATTCGAAATGCAGTGAGTTGAAGAAGAAATTTTATCCACCAAAGTAAACCCATCCCATCCAATCCTAGCCTAACCACTCCACCTCTACTATTATAATATTTTTTTAGGAAATTATTATTAGCATTTCAAAAATTTCATTTGGCATTCCAAACTTTTTATATTAAAAAGAAAAATACATTTGTGAGTGTAGAATGAGATTTTTGGAATACTAATAACAGTTCCTTTTTTTTATACTATCAAAATATGATACAATTTATTCTTTGAATGTGTTTAATTTAAACAATAGAAGAAATCATTCATTAGCGTTAGATTAGCCATTTATGTTTATCAAAGAAAGTGGGATCCGACATGCAAAGTTAGATTTTGTTGCAATCCAAATTAGGGAAATTGCTAATCTATTGTAGTGTTGATAAAAAGGTAAAAAAATTTAATATATGACCTCTTATTATTTCATGCAACATATATATATAGACACCCCCAACACATTTGTAATGTAGAGTTGACGACAATGATATCCAACAAAAAAAGAACAAATGAAATATACATGGTGGAGCATCCAAGGTATACTTTCCCAAAGCTTATTTGGCACCATATCTCACTACCACAAGGAGAAAAACTTGGCTGTTCTCTTTTGGCACTCATACTGTTTTGTTTTTCAACTCATCATTAGCGACCTCGTATATGTAATGATGAGTCCTAAATGGAACAAAAGGGTATATTGTCGATGTATGTAAGTTTTCCTTCACATAAAGGTCGGATCCTGTTGTTCCTTCAGCACTGAAACTACTTTGTTTCTTTCGCATCATTAGCAAACTAATATGTAACCGAGTTCTACATGAACAAAAGAGTACACTATTACTTCCGATGTACATAAGTTCTTTTTTTTTTCTTTCCTTTGTGGTAGCTATTGTTTTAGGTTAATTTTCTAATTGATATATAAGTGTGACATGCATCGACGGTGTTACCACCCGAGTTAAAGAAATTATGGATGGGATAGATGTTCATTGATCTTGGTGAAACAGAAGACACATGGCTCATTTGAATGGTTAATTGATGGACCACTATGTTGCTTACATCTTAAACAACTAAGTTAAGGGTTGGTTTCTACATCCACCAGTATAAATCCAGCTCGATACATATTACATCTTATTTTCGAAATACGACTTTGTTTTCCAGTGTTCTTGTTGACAGATCACTAGTGTACATTACTATAATAATCTGCAAAAAAAGAATTCGAACTCAATAATTTGATGAGAAAGACACGTTCCCCAGGCATAGATGTTTACATTTAATCTGCTGCTGCATTTTTTAATTTAAAAAGAAATTACAACTGTCTAACTATATCATGTAGGACAAAGTTGTATTAAGACAAGGGTTGAAAAAGTCCGCAGCTGCTATTGAACTCTTCCAAATTCAAAAGCAAACTTGGCAAGAACTTTGATTAACAACCTTTGTTTGTATTAGTGACTTGGTTAGCATATTTGTTTGATTAGTGACTCAATTAATTTGTTGCCTTAATTTACCATAACTGTTCTTCATTTCACATTACCAAAGATAGAGTTTACTAGGTTGAATCTCCTAATTATATCTCTGACTAGCTTGATCAAATTGACGTAGAATGTCGGCAGATTTCATTGTGTAAAATTTAATTAAGTGTCATTTGGTACTACAATCTGGTAGTATTCCTCTTCACTTGTAAGTACTTGTAAACGAGAGGTTTTGAACTACATTATTGTTGGCCTATTATGAGGCTAAGTCACCCCTCATTTTAATGTAGATAATACAATTTGTTAAAAAAACTTAATTAAGTTTTTATGGATGCGCCCCATTGTCAGTGGGGCCCAAAAGAAGGGCATCCCCACCTTATTAGCTCCTCAATTTGGGTCATGCACCTAATCCCCCTATGGCCCTAATAAAACCTAATCTCTTTATTGGAATACTTAATCAGATGATTTGTTTTTTTGTCTGCAAACTACTACCGGCCACTTGGCCATTAAAATAAAGGATTAAAGCTAAATTGACAAAGTCTTGGGTTACTGAAAGAAACTTGCAAATTGCAATGCAATTCTAACGGCTTCATCTAAATGGTTACTTTTAAGAGTTGTTATTGACATTCTAATATTTGTTTGGACGATAAATTTTCAACAAAAACGGGGACTTGCAAGTTGAGCTGCAAATTGCAATGCAACGCTCATGGTTACATCTAAATGGTTAATTTTAAGAGTTGTTATTGACAATCTAAGGTTATGTTTGGGCGAAATTTTCAAGTTTCAACGAATTAAGCTCAAGCATCAAGGAATTGATGATGACAAAATAATTAGATATGATAGATTAGAAAAGTCTACCACGATCATTATAAAAGGCATATAAGAGAAAGTTGCAAATAACACCATCCAAAAAAGGTTTTGCTAATACCTCTCACATGCCTTTGAAGTACTAGGTCTTTTCTATTCTCTCATATTAAATTTTTGTTATCCGTTTCCTACTGCAAATTCCTGGGGACTATGAAATCCCGCACTTGGATTATTCTCAATTCTCTGGCAAAAAAAAATCTAAATGAAGTGATATGTTGATTTATTCGACTAAATTAACGTTTTATAATTATAATTAGTAAACTAGATTATTATCATAGCCTACATTATCCAACAACAACAATCTTGTTCTACAATTATAAACAATAAACTACTAACCACTGACTAGACCATTGCTGAGCTAACCATTCTAGACTAACGTTGCAAAAAATCATGAAAAACCTATATGCAAGACCTAACCGTAGATTTTTAAAACCACTAATAAAATACATAATCAAACTAAATAACTACTAAAACCAATATGATAATTGCAATGAATAATGATAAAAGAAATCATTGCATCCCCTCATGAGGCATGGAGCGGAGTCACTGCAAAGAAGTTTTGAGGTTAACATATTGATAATGGGTTGAGAATCGGAATTGAACTCTGTGAGATTTAATCTCATGTTGTTCCTCAATAGCTCAGTGGTTGAGCGGTCAAGGTCTCGGGATTAAAATTTATAGGCCGGCCGTCAAGGTCTTGGGAGTTGTTTTGAGACAAGCATAACACTTCACAGGCACAACACTAACTTGACTTTACTACCACAATTTTCCAAGCAAAACAACCCAAATCCAAAAATGGTTTACATGCCCTGATGCCAAGTTTTATAGCCTACAGTCAGTTGCACTTGCACCTACAACGCTTACGACGACGAAGAACTTGCTTTTCTGTAAATCAATTTCTAATTGACATCCATACATTAACATCGACTACCTCATAAATCACCCCGCCCTAACCAACAAACCGAACGATGAGCTGCATTTAACTTTCCGGTAACAACATAGGGCGGTGAGATCAAGAAAACCGTGCAACAGTACAGGCAAGGGTAAGGCTTTATAAATGTAAAGCGAGAAGCAAATGTCGCTTATGTGTTACTGTACAATTTAACAAGCAGCTCAGCTCCAGCGGCTGAGCAATCCTTTCAGGCATAATACTCTATAGAGAAATGATAAATGTTCCTGCTGATGATCGCTCTCAGATCGTATTTTCAGATGCTCAGCTGTTTGAGAGAGATACATTTGCACCACATTCTTCGCTTGATCAAAAATTTGAGATAAAAAGCATGTATGATTCTGGTTCAGCTCTGCATGAAGTATTTGCGAATCCTGCAAACAAGCAGCAAACCAACATCAACCGCACAATTTGATTAAGTAATCATGATTCCAAACATATGCGACCTTTCATTGATCAACTTAATCATCAAGCCACGCATGAATGATATGGGGAGAGTAGTAATGAACTACCAAAATAACAAAGCCTCATCAACGATTAAAAGTAGGGGAATCAGTTCTAAGAATTCTTACATAAAAGCCAAAACTTCCTCCTGCGTGGTCTTATATAGTATCGAGGAACTTTCTGGAATTGACGGTTGCGGCTTGCAATATCAAAGACATTTTAACAATCCATACAACTCCATGCCCCATACAGTTTCGTTTTCTTTGGAATGATTCCACGAGTCCTCTTTCTCAGCAACTGGGGTCCTATACGGTCTATGATCTTTCTTTATTACCCATTATCTTGGATCTACTGTTCCTTTTGTCTCTCTTTTCTAATTTTGGCATGACCTTAGATCTTCATTGCACATTATCCCACCTTTTCCTCTTGTCCTCTTCGATTACTGCCGCCCCCTCACTTTGAATTATTATCCTCATTCCTAAATCCACATTCATTAACTAATAAAAACACGCATCTTATTCCAATTTCGATCCTAGCTTATAATAACACATCCATCTTAACATCTGCATCTCACACCCTCACCCACCTACATCCACCCGCCTTGATACTTCTGATTCTCGCCTCTGACAACTCGTTCATCAGTCAAAAGCTATCTCTATCAGAATAGTTGAATGCAATTCACAATTTTTTGAGGCCAAGATATCCTTCCCCATTCAATAAAAACAACAATATTGCAGTAAGAGAGCATATGAATAATGATTTTTTACCTAAATAGAATGTATATGATTAAGAAGAAAGCCACAAAATATGCCACAAGTACACACGTTCTCCGGCTTGATTTTTTCTCGAATACCTACATAGCAAACAACTTCATCTCTCAGACCATTGCCCATAAATATATATATAAATGAAAAAAGAGAGGGATGAAGGCAAAAACTAGTGTAGGAGATCTAGTTTAGGTACCATCTTAAATCGATCCATTGTTCCAGACAATATACCCCTTGACACATCCATGCTATTGCCCTGGTTTTACAGTATAATCAAACAAGTCAAACATACAAACAATACTAGAGAAAAAGAAACGTCTAACAAGTAGAGTATGTTTAATAACCTTAGAAGCATACCATACGGTCAAGCAAACGATTATGGCTCTCCACCTCTTCATGAATATCACCTGTTAACTGCAAATCGAACATTTCATTTTGTAAGATTAAAGATTGATCAATCCCTGCCAACTCCATACCATTGCATTAGTACACTATCAACTACAACTTCAACTTCACTTTCAGTAAGAAGAACAGTATCTAGCATCAGACCTGTCTAAATCTAAGCATAACGACAACAATAAAGCCTTTTCTCACTAAGTGGGGTCAGCTGTATAAATTCTAGAACGTCATTGCGCTCGAATCTGTGCCACATCTTCCGTTAGATCCAAGTGTCTTTTCTTAAAGTCTCTTCCAAAGTCTTCCTAAGTCTTCCTCTGCCCCTTCGGCCCTGAACCTCTGTCCCATAATCTCATCTTCTAACTGGAGCTTCAGTAGGCCTTCGTTTCACATGTCTAAACCACCATAACCGATTTTAGCTACTCCTACTTTACATCGGATATCCTTATTCCTAATCTTATCTTTTCTCGTGTGCCCACACATCCACTGAAGCATTCTCATCTCCGCTACACCCATTTTATGTACGTGTTGATGCTTCACCGCCTAACATTTCGTGCTATAAAGCATTGCTGGCCTTATTGTCGTCTTATAAAATATTCCCTTAAGCTTCAGTGGCATACGACGGTCACACAACACGCCGGATGCACTCTTCCACTTCATCCACCCAGCTTGTATTTTATGGTTGAGGTCTCTATCCAACCCTCTGTTCTTTCGCAATATAGATCCTACGTAGCGAAAGCGGTCGCTCTTAGGTACTTCCTGATGTCCAATCCTCACCTATAACTCATTTGAACCTCCATTTGCACTAAACTTGTACTCCATATACTCTGTCCTTGATCAACTTAGGCGAAGACCTTTAGATTCCAACACTTCTCTCCAAAGGTTAAGCTTTGCATTTGCTCCTTCCTGAGCTTCATCTATCAACATTATATCAGCTGCGAAAAACATACACCAAGGGATACCATCTTGAATATATCCCGTTAACTCATCCATTACCAATGCGAAAAGGTAAGGACTTAAAGATGAGCCTTGATATAACCCTACAATTATGAGCAAGCTTTCGGTTTGTCCTTCGTGAATTCTTACGGCAGTCCTTGCTCCATCATACATATCCTTTATAGCTTAGATTTATACTACTCATACTCCTTTCTTCTCTAAAATACTCCAAAGAATTTCCAAATCTATAAAGATCATGTGCAAATCCTTTTTCATATCTCTACATCTTTCTATCTATCTTCGTAAGAGATAGATAGCCTCCATAGTTGAGCACCCTGGCATAGACCCAAATTAGTTGAGACCCGTGTCTCTTACCTCAGTCTATGCTCAATTACTCTCTCCATAGCTTCATTGTATGATTCATTAACTTAATACCCCTATAGTTCATGCAATTTTGTACATCGCCCTTATTCTTGTAGATAGGCACCCAAGTGCTCTTTCGCCACTCATTCATTTAAATCTAAGCATGCATTAAAATATATCAATTGACATCAATGACAATCAATGACATTTTGAATGTATAAATAGATAAAGGAGTCAGCACGCGTGTGATCAGGTTCATGTAGACTTATGCATGGTGAACAGGCAAGCTGTGTCTATTCGTACTGAAATCGAACACACTGCACATGTTCTGGGGATTTTCAAGGCAATTTGGCACTCACCCTGGATTATTCCTGTACAATTATTCGAGGATAGTATATACGCATCTTAGAAATTTATCCAATGATGTTAACAATTGAGCGTACTAAAACCTGCTGGCATTCAAAAACATTATGGTAACTAATAACAGCATAGACCAAAAAAATTAGAGTTGGTTCACAGGGTGGCATAACGATTGACCTGAGTTCCGTCAACAAAAAACCAGACAGCAAAGGCATCTGAATATGGGCCAGATTTCGGTGACCCCTTTCATGCTTATGCACCAAGCATGCTGTTTTGATGAATTTTAGTTATTACCATTCATAGGAAAGTCTGTAATTCTGTATGTTCTATTAGCACCCTTGAATAGATACCCTACAATTTTTCAAGTCCTAAGCAGTCGACACATTATGGCAACAGAATATATACCCACTTTCTAAAACAGCAGGGCTCATATGAACTTATACAATGTTACATAAAGATATGTCGTGTCTACAACAACAACAAAGCCTTGTCCTACTAAGTGGGGTCGGTTGTATGAATCCTAGAACGCCAGTGCGCTCGGTTATGCGTCAAGTCTTCCATTATCTTTAATTACTCCACGTCTTTTCTTAAAGTCTCTTTCAAAGGCTTCCTAGGTCTTCCACTACCCCTTTTGCCCCAAGTCGCTGTCTCATAATCGTATTTTCTAATTGGAGCATCTGCAGATCTTCAATTCACATGTTCAAACCACTTTAACCAATTATCTCTCATCTTATCTTCAATTGCAGCCACTCATACACTTGTATTCTATGGTTGAAATCTTCATTCAATTCTCCGTTCTTTTGCAAGATAGACTCAAGATAACGAAAGCATTCGCTCTTCGGTACTTCCGAATCTTCGATCCTCACCCCTATCTCATTTGAAACCAATTCCCATAAAACTTGCATTTATATACTCTGTCTTTGACCTACTAAGGCGAAGACCTTTAGATTCCAACACACTTCCCACCAAAGTTTAAGCTTCCACACTCCCTCCTACATTTCATCTGTTAGCACTATATCATATGCCAAAAGCATACACCAAGTGATCTCTTGTTGAATGTACTATTAACTCATCCTTTTGCATACCTCTGTATCAATCCATGGGTCTTCATAAGAGATAGGTTGCCTCCATAGTCTTGTATGAGTGGGGTGTCTAGTGCCTCAGTCTATGCTCAATTACTCTCTCCCAAAATATTTTCACGTCTCATAGAATATAAGGCATGTTAAGATATTTATGAAACAAAGATTCAAAGCAACAAAGTTAGCCAATAAAGAGATGTTGTTTATTGCACTCACTCTCTTGAGAAAAACAACTCGGTCTTGTAAACTTTGCACGGACTTGTCATTGTCATGCTCATTAATGTCGTGGGAGTATGAGGAGGAGGCCCTAAGACCACCTTCCTCAAGGCCATCCAAAAGGGATGCTTTGGAGGAACGGTGCTCCCTACAAAAAGAGCAAACATAGTTAAGTATTAGACAAATGTACCTGGGGACCACAAGAAAATATTAGGGGTTGACACCACTACCTTGAACAATACTCAAACGTGACAGTGCAAAGGAAGTTTAAGATTGTCCTAGCACCGGTTTGTGGCAAGGGCTTGTAATTAAACAAAACTAACGCGTTAAATAAAGTTAATAAACGCATAATAGTAGTACAAAACAACAGAAAAAGCATGACGTTTGTAGTATTTCTGGACTAGGAATGCTTAAAGCAAGTACCAAACCAACACCTTGTCCCCCTTTTCACAGATTTCCTTCCGACTAATCCCGACTATTAGCAATACTTCTATCCTCAACTTGTAAATTAATTAAACCAACACTAAATCCAATCACCATTTAATCTCATCCCCTCTCCTCTCATCGGATAAATTTGATTAAAAGAGGAAAAATACGCAAAATAAATTAACCTGCATTTTTAAAGCAAACCAAGATTAAGGCCTCAGATAATCTAAAATTGACCTCCTACTTAGTGCTAATTACAAGATCTAACCAATAACTTTCGAATTAATAATAAAATTAGCTTGCGTTCCCAGAGAAAATAAATGCTGAAGCTGTTAAAATTCGAGATCCTGATATATAATATACGTTCGGATCAGAGAGGACGAACCTTCTGTAGCTCATTGGCAGCGGTGTTGGCAGACTCGACGTCGTTTTGCGACGGAGTTTGGAGAGTGCGAGGGTGAAAGTTCGAAATGGTTGATCCTCCTCCGTTTGGCTGCTGAGAAAATGTGGGAAAGGAAAGGAAAGGAAAATGAAGAGGAAATGTGAGGAATTGATTTGAACGGAACGCAAAGGCAGTTATTGGCAATTCCACGTGGTGCCTTAAAATTGGACTTGCCGCCAACAGGCCTTGGTCCAGAAACTTTTAGGATAACCGATAATCTTTTTTCTTTTCTTTTTTTTTTTTTTTTTTTTTTTTTTTTTTTTTTATTTACCCACACAGGTTAAAATTTGAACTACCTATGTTTTACACCCCTCACATTTGAAGTCGTTTTTAAATTGAGCAATGAGATTTGAACTAACCGTATTTTGCTCCCTTCATATTTAAAGTTGTTTTTAAAGTGAGCGACGAGTTCCTTTTTATTTTTTCTTTTTGACTTTGCTCTATGAGGTTTTAAAATTGTACGAATTATATTTTTTGTCTCTCATGTTATCAAATTAACGATGGATAACACAACCAATTCGACCAAAAGCATAAATTGATACAATTTCAATATCTTATGATGCAAAATGAGAAATATATTGTCTATTTGTCTAACAATCCATAACTTAGTACGTTGATCAGAGCAATGTGCTATCTCCTCCTCTATAATAAGTTTGAATGTCTCACCCATAATTTAGATGTGTTAGTATAAGTTGACAACAAAATTAAAATGAGTTAGTATAAATTTTTTTTTTTTTAATTTTCCATTACCCTTGTTGGATATAATAACGAAATAGTTATAAAAAGAGCGCTACATTTATTACATTTCTACTTTTTTCGATAGTTTTTAATTAGGGTAATACTAGAAAAATTAAATTTGTAGACAAAGATTTGAAAATTAAGGTATCGTTTGGTATGCAGGTGGGACAGGACGGAATAGAATGGGACGGGACGAAATGGAGAGGGAGCAAAGATGCCCTCGGATGGAAACAAGGAGGAAGAAGAATGAGACGGAGAGGTTATAATTTTATGTTCTACGGATGTGGAACGAGTCGTTTAAGGGGTGAGGCAGAACGAAAATTCATCCAAATTCGTCATGTGGAACAACGCGTTCCACCCGTTTTAGGCGCACCAAACGTGGGACGGAACGCCTCGTCTCACTCTGTTCCGTCCCGTCCTACGTACCAAACAGTACCTAAAAAACATGAAAGTTGATGATTGAATTATTACTTAAACGTTGATAAACATGTTCATTCCTATTGATGATACATTATTTAATTTACAAATTTTATTCTTAAATTTAGTCTCATTTTCGCTGACAGTGTCAGGTATAACATGATGTAAATAGTCAAATCCCATTAATATTAATAAGGCTGTTTCAAAAGCAGAGTCAATGCCCTCTTCCACCTCCTACCACCAGTTTAATGCCTGCAAGCAACAACCTACTTGGACCATATAGCGGTAAATACATATTTATTATTATTAGAGCCTCACACAATCCTTCACAATTTCAGATCTTTTCTGTTTATTAATTGAAATAATCCATCCAAATTATGCCTAATTTTACCCCATTTACCATTCCAAAAAGAGAATATGAAAGAGATGAAAGTAAAAGTGTTGCAGAAAATTTAGCATTCTCAGTAAAGGATTAATGCATGATATGGATGGTATCACAGGGCATCAAACACAGAAGAATCCAGGTCAATAAACTGCCAGTTTCAGTATGTCAAATACAACAAGTAAAATCTAAAGTACTAATCCTGTTCAATATTTGAAGAGTAAATTGTAGCAATGATCCCTTAATTTTAATCAAATTAAAGTAATAATTTCTCGACTAAAACTCTATTAGCATTGGTTCCTCAACTCATCAAAACATGTAGCTATGGTCTTTTTTGTCGACTTCATCAGAATTTTATCAAAATAAGTTATGTTGAAAGGACTATAGCTACAATTTGGATAAATTTGAGGGACCATTTTCTCCAATTGGGTTAAAGTTGAGGGATCATTTCTCTAATTGGATTAAAGTTGAGCGACCATTGGTAATGAATTTTTAGTTAATGGACCATAGATCCACGTTTTGATGAGTTAAGAGACTAATGGTAATAAATTTTTAGTTTATGAATCATTACTCTAATTGAATTAAAGTTGAGAGAGCATGCTCAGAATTACACATTCATGTCTACCCGGAACGAAAATACCCTTTCAAAAAACCTTAGCCGCTCCCTCCCTTTTCTCTCTCACAGAGTAAATCACAAACTTCCTCAATGCCGCCGACTCCTTCCTTGGGTTGGGGTCGGCCGGCAACCCCTTTCCCCTATTCTCTTTTCCTTTTCTTTATTTATGCTTGTGAGTTTTCCTGGCATCCTTCACCATTTTTCGATGTTCTTCACCATATTTTGATGTTTATTACCGTCTTCTTTGTCTTGACGAACCCAATCCCCAGCCTTCAACCCTCGCCCCACAACCCCTAACATTCATCATCTTCCACCTCTGTTCAAAGCCAAGAGCGACGCACCTGGTTTGGTCCGTAGATCTCGGCCCTTAATTCACATCTATGTACCCAACCGACATGTCAAAAACTCGGGGCCAAGCGTGCTGCGGTTTTGCTCAAAGCGAGCGTGTTTTAGATGCCTCCTTAGCCTCATCCCCTTCCCTTTTGTTTTGGTTTTGGTTCTACTTCTAGGGGCTTGTTTTGGTGGTTCATATATGTTGGCTCATCTCCGGTATGGCGGTTTTGGTGGCAAATTTTGGTTGGGGATTTTTCCTTCTTGTTGGTTGCTTTGTGGTGCAATTCCTTCGTTGAATTCAACGCGAAGTTGGTTTTCTTCGAGCAATTACCTTTGTGGTCGCAGTCGAGGTGATGGCATCAGTGGCGATCGGCCTTTGCTGGTTCTTGCTCTGGGTTTTTTGTTTTGTCTGCTTTTTTTGCTGAATGGGCTTTGGCTATCGCCACTTTATTGGGCTAGTTTGTTGTACTTGTAATGGGCATTTCTCATTCAATGAATTTGATTGTCCTCTGTCCCCCCAAAAAAAAATTATGTCTACCCGGAACGAAGGAAGTCATGGATCGAGGAAGGAATGTTATGTGGTAGGGAGCACTGAGGAAGTTAGTAACTGGAAGAATTTCAATACCCGTGGTTTACTAGAAGCGGGGAATTTAAGAATCAGAGTAATTCCGATATACATTCTATGAAAGTAATGTCGTAAAAAATAAAAGAAAAAGAACAACACAGACGAATTGGCTGGGGGTGGTGAAAACATCCTGGCATACATACTCACAGAGGTCTGCAGACTGCAAATGCAACATTTGGATTCATAGGAAACTGCACTCGTGCATCGAAAACTCTATTTGTTCTCTTTCATTTTTCGGCACATAGCACATAATCTAGCATAATCAAAGAAGAAGTATTAACTTTACACCAACATATGTACAATTCTACAACAAAAGACACTTTTCTTAGAATTATGTACTTCACAAGTCAAAGCTTCACATACCTTGCAACAAACTACAACAATCAAATCTTGAGCGGACAAAGTATTCAGTGTGAATTGCGAAACGTTGATATATTCACATCCTGTTGAACTATCATCTACATGTTTATCCAAGTGATTGGAATTAAGAACAACTCCTTATCACAGCCACCGCCTTGGCGATTTCAAATCCAATGACGGAGTCAATCAATCAACAAATGAAGCCCCGCATTGCATTTGCCACTCCATGCAGTCTTCAAAATCAAAACTACTTGCACAATCCAGTAATGCATTTTGCTGATGCTCGTAGCGGCATATATAATTCAACCCAACAAGCAGCTTACAAATAGCTGCCTCTGTCTTGTCTCGATCAGCAAAATACAATGTCTGTAGCAGAAGAACATTTGTGCGCGTAACAATCTGCGTTTGCTCAAAATTACGCTCGCTCTGCCATCTCATCATGTTGTGCGCCAATGGGGCGAGCCACCTCAAAATCCCGTCAAGAGTCTCCTTCCAATCATGCGCAAGAGGCGCATCATATATGGCCATATTCTTGGCATAGGACTTGAGATTAGTCCTCAGACCCATCCTTACACTCGTTGGTAACATATGATACAAATCGTCCCTCGCTTCCTCGCCGACTAGATAAGGATATCGAAGCAACTTCTCTATAACAATTATAACATTTGCGTAATGTAAAGCTAGAGCAGAGCCTCCCACAGTAGAAGGAGGGGCATAAACCATTAACTTACTCTTGGGACCAAACCGTGCACCACCATTCGTTCCGCCACACTTGGATTGAAGGTGAACACCCGTTTGTGCTCGATTAAAACAACCCGAATGGTTCGGATACTCTCTCCTTAAACCGCCATTTGCAACACTGCAACCCGAAATTTGGCTACTCCTGTCATCATAATTACCAGCACCACCATAATCATCATCATCAACTGTACCGCTCATTCTAAGGCAGTCCATGAAAATCCTCCCGGGGCTTGCTCCGCACGGAGGGTTCAAATCCTCCGCTCGAAACGCCCCAAATTCACCTCTCCTCGAATCAAACTGAGGCTTAAAAGATGACCCCTTTTTCAGCACCACAGCCTTCTCAACCGGACCCGAATGCAACCCTTCTTTCCTACTAGCAACCCTCTTTAACGGCTCAGAAGCCACCTGAGAAACCCTCCTCACATCAATCTGACCGGACACCGTAGGCGGTGAAGCTCCACCAATCAACCCAACACGGTCCTTGCTCAAAACAGAGTCTCCGAAAACAGCCTGAATTGTGGCGAAAATAGTACAGACCGTCCTGGCGAGCAATTCCACAACTTTATCATACGTTTGGTTCCAAAGAGAGACATCCTTGAGATGCCTGACATCCTGCTTTTGCCAAACGAGCTTCTGCTCAAAAGCCCTTTTGCTCTCCTCGTGCTGATTGTGCTGAAATTTCTTGGTGGCCTGCTCCAACTCATTCAAAACCTCCATTTCGCTGTACAAATTGGAAGTAGCATTCACATACCTCTCCATTTTTCTCACCATACCCTCCATGTCTTTTACCAAAAACCCCAACTCCTTCACATCAATGACCCCATTAACGAGGTCAGCATAGACATGCTCGAACCCCTGCAGAGCCGGCTCGACGCACCGCTTCCCGAGCCTCCCCACGACGGCGGCGACCCGGTTCAGCTCCTCCAGCTTCTCCGCCATGGCGAGCTCGAGAAGATAGGCCCCGTCAGCGGAGACCAGGTTGAGCACTCCCTCGGACTTCAAGATCTCGTTTTTGAGCTTCGAGATCTCGGAGTCCGTGAGGGACTTGTGGAGATGGACGGTCTTGGACATGACATTGGCGACCTCGAAGGAGAGAATGCCAACGGTCTGCTTCCGGGTTTTGGCGCCAGCGGCGGGTTGAGATTTGGAGACTGATGATTTCTTCGAAGGTTGAAAAGGAAGAGCGTGCTTGAGATTGGAGCTTACCTGGTTACCCATCTTCAAAATCCAAGGCTCTGCAACCATTGCTGCGAAGATCCGGAGCTCAAAGTAACTGGGTCAGGCCAAAACGCCGGCGGAAACCCGATTTCATGCGTGAAATCTCGGTACCCTTTAGAGCTGGCCAGCTATGGCGGTGAATGGAAGGTGAGATTTTGCCGGCGAAAGCAAGAACAGAGGAAGGAAAGCAGAGAGGGGTTGGAGGATTCTGGGCGTGGGGAGAGAGTGGGAAGGCGCAATTGATTGGAGGGAAAAGAAAGGTGTGGGGGAATCACCAATCAGTGGATGAATTTAAAGTGGTGGAAACTTTTCAAAACTTTTCAAAGTGGCTCTGACTCTGACTTTCTGCAGTTATCTGGGTTTTGAATTTGTTTGCATCTTTTGTTTTTCTGGAAAATTTATTTGATATTTAAAAAAACCCTCTCTTTTACCTCTCTTCATTTTGATGAGTAAAATGAAGCCTAGTAGGTACTTAAATTACAAGAATTTTAAATAAGAGGATCTTAGAGATCAATTCTTAGCCGTTTATCGTATATCTTATAATCAGCTTTCGCTAGATACTGTTTGTGTTCAATTTTAAATAAAAAATTCAAAATAATTTCTAACCGTTGATATCTAGGATCATATTCCTGTTTTGTATGCTTAAATATAAGATTTTGTTGCAGTCCTATTAGATTAGGAATGTGATTGTGTAAATCTTAGTATATATGGGAATGTATCTTATATTCCTATTAGGAGTAGATTACCTATTAAATGTTGTAATCCTAAAGAAAAAGAATTAATCATTCCTACTACTATAAATAAAGGCACAATGGGGTGGAATAGAACACACCCACAATTACACATCTCTCTCATTCTCTCTACCTATTGCCGCACCCCTCTCTCTAAGGCCTCCATAATTGTTCAATAAATTATGCCTACAACACGTTATCAGTACGTTCTTGATGTTGCGCTAAAGAGAGTTTAATTTTCAATCAGGGGAGTATTACGTTTTAATCATTCTTTTTATGATTAATTTATTATTTTGAATTGATCTATATGGTATTGATTCAATTTAATTTTTCTATGTTGAACGTGATACAACACATTGGAGATGCAAGTCCGGCTTTTGGAGAATGATCTTCTACACATTCAAAGGCTCTTGTTGTTTTCTGCCAATCAGGTACGCTTAAAATAAAGTAAGATATTTGAAACGACCTTGAAGCATGAAACACTCCCCATGATGCATGAACCCCCTATGTTTATATTTTCCTTCCGATATATATTTATATATATATATATATATATTGTATATGTTTCATATATTTGTCAATATATATATTTGTTTCACGCATTACGCAATTAAATCGCTATGTGGAATATGTGAGTCAAAGAATCGAAAGAAAATATAAGCAATTAGGGTTTCTCAAACCCTAGGATATTTCGAAAATAATTTTTATTTTTGGGAAAAAATTACGGTTAAAATTGGGCCCGTAGCCGCGCCGACCTAATGCCAAGCCGAGCCCGTAGCTCAGGGCTTGGGCGCTAGAACTATGAGGGCTACCTGCATGTATGAACCAGGCCTCCGGCCTGGGTTTAAACTTGTTGGGCCTACAACATACAAACCTTGCTGGGCCCCTTCCTCATTCCAGCCCGTGCTTTCAGCTCGTTAGCCCGAAAGCTAAGTTAGGTGTCCCCAGAAGCCAGCACATCGCTGGGCTCCTCACACGACTGGCCCGCTTACCACTGCAAGCATGAAGCTTACTTTATAAGCTGGCCTGCACAACACCCTTTCCCAAGCCCAATAGCAGCCGAGTTTTTTTTTTCTGCTTTGATAGGCTGTTTATCTCAGCCGTGGCCCACCCCTTGCAACCAACCCTAGCCCAATTTTGTTTTGGGGCTATATTTTCAACCCTATGCTATTATTTAGCATTTTAAATCATTTTAATCCGAATGTTATTATTATTATTGCTTCTACAATCGACCCCAAATGGTCCCGATCTATTGAATTAATTAAAAGTGACCTGCAACCCATTAATCTGATAATGAATCCAAAATTATTAACCTGAAGATCACTTTTGGACATTAACGATTCAATAAATTTTTTTTTTTTTGAACCATTGACATACTTTCGTAGTCCCGAAGCACTCACACTTGAGTTCCTGAAGCAACCCAAATCCACTACACTTAGTTATATATTGCATTCTGTGTTCTTTCAGGAACCTCTCTTTTATGAACTAAACGATCATAAACTAAATTGAACATGTAGTTTCAAATTTAGTGCCTTTGAAACCCAAAGTTTTCATAAAACAATACACCGATGAAAACTCGACATTTTTCATGAAAACCATGTCTTAGAACTTAAATGTTCTAACTTTGATGCTTATGGATGATTCATTCCCATAGCACCAATTAAAACCTTGTTCCCTCCAAATTTAGTGGATTGTTGAACCGTCACAAGTTTGATTTTCCTGATTTGGACGTTTCTAATAGAAACCACTTTATGTGGGGTACAAGACGTGAATCTCCACTTGATTATCAAGAAGATGAGAAACCATTGAAGCCAACAATGGCATGGAAGAGCTGAATAAGCCTTCGCCATGATCTTCATTCGAAGACTTATGCTCAAAGCATTACAAATGGAAATACCTCCCGAACGAGGATTCCATGGCTCTTTGGCTCGTTCCTATGGACTGTCTAATCATGAAAAACATTGCATGAAGCACACCATGATTACGTCTATGAATGAGTATAATTCTGAATTTTATAAATCCAATTGAATTTTGACTAGAGAATACTTTTCTCGTCCTTCCATGTTTTAACTCGCCTCTGAAGCAGTAGTGTAGAAAGCAGAAGTTACCAAATTCTCAAATCGGGTTACTACCACAAACGTGAGAGAAAGGTATGGACCCAGTTCAGCTGGAGTCTACCGAATAGCTCGACCCAGTTCAGTCAAAGCCTACTGAATGGTGATGCACTGCTTCAGCTGGGATACACCGAATGGCACATTATCTCATAATCCAATTCGAGTTTGTTTTTACAACATATGGTAGAATCAGGGTTTACCAAGGTGTGGCATCATGCTCGAAGTGTGATCCTTGGTACCTAAGACCTAAAACTTCAAAAATAAGGGATAGTATTCCCAAACCTTAACCCTGCAAAATCTATTTCTATCTCGATGGAATAGACCATTGGTTATGCACATGTCGTGCCCCTACCAATGTTGTTAAGAAGTATCATTCTAGTAGTCAATATGTGAGCCTAATTTTACTTCACCAAACACCTTTGGAAGAGCAGAATTTTGACATGGATGGCCTTATTGGCCGAATCCCCTTAGTAAACTATTTACTTTATGAACATTTTTTCATGTTCTTGGATTCAAGTTTGGTGTATGTTTTACTTATGGATAATCTTATTGATATTGTCCTCGAATATGAGTTAATTTAATCATGTGTTCTTAATACATGTGACTGATTCAATTAAACACGTGATTAGGTAGGAATGTAGGAAAGTTAGTTGTCTGGATGAATGCGTACTACGCATACTAACTTTATGTTGGAAGTATGCCCACAAAGCCACTCATTTGATGTAATAGTTTTTTGGAATACTTATTGTGTTAAACTTTTATAAGTTTAATGGAGGGCAAATCTTATTGTTAATCACTATTTATTGTATCATGTGTTTAAGCAATAAGGGAATCCAAGGAATGTATTTGTTCTAAGAGATATGTGATCTAATGAGTTAGATTATCGAGACCTTTCTCTTATGTTCATTCCTAAAACGTTCCTAGCCATAGGATTGCTAATTGGGCATTGACAATCCACTAAGGCTAGTATGTGTTGTGTTGACTCAAGCGAGAGTATGACTAGTCTCAAGTCATTTGGTGTTGGACACTAAGACAAACACATAGGTGCTCGAAAGAGTAATCGAGTACACTGAACTGCGATCAAACGAGAGTTCGAACATACATGTCATGTATGAACTCTAAAGTTGCAATATGCAAAGTAGTCCTTTGACCTGAGGCATCATCGATGTCTAATGGTTAGGTCCTTGATCTTTGATCATGTCAACGACATTCCTTTGGAGTGTCCACGGCATTGTTGGGGTCAAGCTATCTAGTCATGTAGGCATATGAATGTACAACAAGGGATCTCTAACTTTCCATGGTGGAGGGAGAATACTCTAAGTTATGATTCTAAAGTCTTTGGCCAAAGCAAATGAATATGACTAAGGAAAGTTGTTCCAAATCATATTCAAGGGAATCATATAGGAAAGTATCACATTGGATAGTAGACATGAAACAAACTATCATTCAAACAAACGTGATTAAAGAGTATTGTATTAGAGAATGACCGTATTGCATTGTAGTTGTAACTGGATAGGTTCTCCAACCAATTCTACTTAACTTGGGTAATCATGATATGCTGCTAGGCGTCACTCATGGTTTGTGGAAGCCCTGAAGATTAGCAAACACTAATCTTAAGGGAGAATTGAAATGTGGTTTCAATTCACAATCGATCGTTAAGACTAACATCGCCCACTGCCTCGTTAATTGGAACCTAATGGATCGTACACCACATAAGGATGTTAGTGAAGAAATTATATGAAATGGATAAGCAATTAAATGGTTTAATTGAAGAATGGTCAAAGTTAATTAATTAGTTAATTAATTATACGAAAGGTTCGTATTGGGCTTTTAAGTTAGTTTGGGCTTCGGGGTCCAAAATTGTTTTGGTCCAATAGGCCCATTATGTTTAAGTTGTATGACAACTAAAACAAATATGGGTATTTAGCCCAATAACAAAAGGAGCACTAAAGGGTTTTCTAATAGAAATTGGGTGAAAGATTTTTCTCTCATTTTTTTTCTACAAAGAGGCCGGTTACTTAGAGGATTTTTACTAGCATCTAAAATCTCTCTAAGTCATCCATATCATCTTCACAATATACAACCTTGGTGAAGAGACTTAGAGACATCAAGCTTTTGGTGTTTTGGAGAACAAATCCTTTTTCCTCAAATCATCAAAGGAGCACTAAAGGGAGGAAAACACAAGTAGGATTCAAGGAGCTTGGAGGTGACTTGAAGGCCCTCCACTTGGGAGAATCCCTTGTGTAAACAAGGATGAGCTTCAAAGGTAAAAGAATCACTTAAATTCTTCTTTCTCTTTAATGTTGTTAAAGAGTTTATTTTGGTTCACCATATACTAGGCTTTGAAAGTCATGGGTTTTATTGAATTGTTTTTGGATGCATGCCTAAATTAATGAGTTAATAGTATGCATATGTATTCAAATGTTCATACTTGTTCTTAGCTAGGACAAAATTTATCCTTCAAGTGGTATCAGAG